GCGGGTTGCACGTCCTCGCCATCACTCTCGATGTCTCCGCAAAGCATGAAGGCTGGCGCAGCCGGTTTGGGTTTGGCTTTGCCTTTAGCCTCTTGTTTTGTGGCAGGAGCAGCGTGGTGCTGACGTCGGCATTTGTCCCCGAACTTGCACGACCCTTTCTGCCAATTCCAACAGACCTGATCCTTCATTGGCTTAGGGCTACTGCTCCTGCCACCAGGACTCTTTGATCTGTCACCCTTGAGGCTTTCTGGTTTCTTAGCAGAACTTTTGTGTTTCTCTTGGTGACTAAACTTGCATTTGTCTCCTCTAGAACATCCGTTTTTCCCATGGAAGTGGAAGGCGCATCCTATCTTGGACGTATCTGCTGGAGTCGCTGACCTGCCACGATCCCCTTTTGGGCTCTTCGTGGTGGATCTTCCACGATCCTGCTTCTTGTCCTTCTTGTTGTGGTCCTTCGGATTAGCCTGAGGAAGTACTGGAGCGGCGTCTTTCGGTGGATCGGCCTTGGTATTCTTGGGTTTCGCTTTAGGGTCCTTCTTCTCCGCCGCTGGTGTGGCTTTCACGAGGTTCCCAAAGGCTTTTTCCCTTTCTTTCTTGTTTGTGGTCTCAATTGATTTCCGTATCCACTTCGCCATGATCTCTCGTAACTTCTGATAGGTCTTATCCGGATCCTTATCCAACATGTTGTCGTACACGGACAAGTCTAACGCCATAACTTTGGAATCCTTAATCTTGTCCCAAAGCAGGTTGCGGAGTGCTTTGTCAGGAAGCATGTCATCCGCATCCATACCCGATATGATCTCATCCCACTGTCCAAGGAATCTGGAAAGTTGATTATTTCGAGGGAACTTTAGATCGAATAAGTGCTTGGATGCATACATCACATCGACGTTGTCGGCACTCCGGAAGCTATCGACGATCAACGCTAACATTTCTCGTCCCTTGACCATTCCAGGAGTTGTGCCTCTCGCACGTCTCTGCATCATCTGCCTCACCTTCAGTTGTACGTCATGAGATCTCTCACCTGCTGCGTGGATGATCGTATGTAGGGTGATACCTAGCTTAGCGTCTATGCTAGCGAATCTTGCTTCGCCTGATGTCTCGAGCAGAAATGGGTCATACGGTGATCTGAAGGCATCCGAGAGCCACTGGATCCAGTCTTCTTGTCTTTCGTCGCCCGATGCCGTCACGACTGCCGCTACAACCTGGGATTTCCAAACCTCCAGGTCGTGTATCTTGGGCCATGCAGGGATGTTGATCTTCTCGTGTTCCTTCCGAGATATCTTGGAGCCACCCGAGCTAGAGGATGAGGCGGCACCATGTTCGGTTGCGGCTGCATTCTCAGCATTCAAGCGCTCCTCTTCGTACCTCCTCCGGTACTTATTCCTCTCATCCCTGAGCCGTGCTGCATGCGCTTCGAATTCCATCATGTCCTGTTGGTTCTGCATCATACCTTCGTAGTACTCCATTGCCTCTTTCTCCTCGGACCTTAATGACTTTTCGGTACGTCCAAGTTCCGCTCTAAGCTTGGTCATCATCTCGTTCTCCACATTGGGTTCTGATCCCATGTCGGGTGGTTTCATCTTCAGTGCGACCTTCAGTTGTGCTTCACTTGCGCTTGATTCGATCAATTCTTCCTGAAGACGTTTCAGCATCCTCTCTTTACGTAGAATGTCTTCTTCCAACATGTTCATCTTGACTTCGGCTTTCTTGAGTTCGGCGTTGGATGGTTGATACGGTCGATCGGATCCTTGAATCCTCGCCTGTGTCAACTCCTCGTTCGCCTTCTTCAATTGCTCCCTGATGGTCATGATGAAATTGTCCTGATTATTAGATCGGTTGTTGAGCTCCTCATTCTCTTCTGATAACCATTTGATCTTGCTTGTATACATTGCTTCCCTCATCTTCATCTCTTCAGCATATTCGTGTTTGTTCCTGGCACTCTGCCTTTGTAGTCCAACCAACTCCTGTCGACACAGATCCTTGACGTTCTCAGCATCTGCGATTGTAGTCATGACCTCGGTTACGGCTCGATCTCTTTCCGCCGATATAGCCTGGATCTCTTCCGTGCCGATGTTCACAACTTGACTAACCATCTCTGCGCTGTTGCGATCAGCGTACTCCCCTAACTGGGTGAGACGATCCCGCATTGCCACACGATCAGTGTCCATCTGGTATTGCAGGTCGTGTGCTGCTGAGAGCAAACAGTCTCTGGATTCTGTAAGTTGGGTGATTCTTCGTTGATTTCCATATCCTTCGACATAACATTCTTCGAGGTGTGCCATCACTACTTCGTGGACTTCGGTCTCGTGTTGTATAATCTGGTTCTGTCTCTGCTCACATTCGACCATCCATGCGTTTTGGTGGTTCAACATATGCACTTCGGCAAGTAGTTGTGCACACTTCGCATTGAGGTCTCCATCGGCCCGTGCTAGTTGTAGGATGTCAGTGCTTGCCCTTGCTCCATCTCCAGCTTCGCTGTCCGACGGTACTGGTACAGTTGACCCATCCTCCAATGCTAGCACTCTCACTGCTCCGGTGTCAGTCCTCCTCCTTGTCTCCCTAGGGCTACGGCCTGACCTCGGTGTCCCCCCCGGTGGTGTCGATTGTGCTGACGGGGAACGACTTCGAGCTCTACCTGTCGCAACTTCTCTCACCACTGTCAGAGTCTCCGCTTCGATCGTACCTGGACTAGAGTTGTGGGATGCGCTCATCCGATCTGCGGCCGCAGCAGCTGCTCCAAAAGATGCAGTGCTGGCGTCTGATTGGTCCATCTTCAGTGACTGAGGGTAACTGATCTATCCGATGCGTGTGCGTTTAGATGGTGTTGTGTAAGGCCGTAGCTCGTACCCAGCTCAAAGGAGTCTGGATACGGCTGATAACCTGCGAACGGATGAAAAGTGTGCCCTGGCCCCGTTCTAGCCCTTAGTTCAACATGAAGCTCGCGCGCTAAAGCTCCTTTTTACCTGGTTGGGCACTTGAGCCAAAAGTATATGGCATGTACCTGTATAGCAACTATACTGGGACCTCATCCCTATTGACAATAACAACAGTCATCCAGAGAGGCTCTGTTCCTTTCCAAGCGCTGATGACAGAATCCCCATCTGTTCACTGACTTCACAAGGCTGGCAAGCAACAAGCCGTATGCTTTTTGGCTATCTGAAGTTTCTGTCACAAATGGGCCTCTTCGCAAACTTTCTTAGCTCCTGCCCAGCCCTCCAGAGGCACTGCGCTGCAGCAAAAGGTTGCTAACTGCACGGCATCCTGGGCAGCAGGAACGGACTCGCAAGATCCAAAAGTACTCTAGCGATGGCCTCCAACCGACTAGCGGTGGCCTCCAACCTAATAGCAATGGCCTCCACCCTAGTAGCAGTTCCACTTGATGGCATCGGACCTCATATACAGTGTTTTAAAATCGTTCGTTCGGCGACAATCTGCGCTAAATCCAGTCCTCTGCTGCCACTGCCACTAGCTCTTCAGAGACTTTCTGGTCTCTAGCATCACTTTTGCAGGAACCGACTTTCCTTGCAAGAAACATGAACAAAGTATAACAAAGTGGGGATTTTGAGAATCGTAGGGCGCATGGGTCAACTCGTTTTGGCAAGTGGTACATGACTGACCATTCCCCGGCACACTACTCTCTTCGGTTCTGAGGTCGCACATTTTGGGCAACAGTTTGATACAGTCATGTGCCTGCCTGGGGTGCCTGTCTACACACAATATGTATATTAGGTCAGCGCCCCCTCTGGGACCTACATTGAATCCACTCAATGCTACACCGATACTGTTACATCTATATTTAACCTCATTGCAATGCAAAAAGGTCCAAATTGCAGGAACATTACTGCAATAACATGGAGCAACAAATAACGATCATGTGAACCCTAGTATGCCTTGTAGTGCGACTCAAATGAATCAGGGATCGGCAGAAACATATGCCCTTTTGGCGATCGGATGATGGAGGCTTCATAGCATTTGGACACTTTGACTCTAAAGATGTTCACAAGTTCTCCGTAATTCCACGCGAATAACAGCGCAAACCCCCAAAGCCTAAAACACTAGAAAAACAACCCTAATAAGCCCTAATTGATTGGTGAGTGGACCGTGCATCCTGGTGCTAAAATGTACTAAAAGTACACCCAGTCAGTCCCGTCTACCAACGGATGCGGCATCCTGACATTCCCACCCAAATATTTACAGTAAATACATCCCCTACAGACAAACTAGAAGCAATTACTGTAAAGCAATTTGAAAAATTCCGCCCTTCCTTAGAATGCACACTAGCCTCTGTAACTCCTGTAGTGCTTGTCGTCCCACGTCCAGCATCTTTGGGAGAGTTCTTCTCCGTGATGTTCTCAACTTTGCTGCTTCCTCCACGCTGTGAAACCAAGTGAGACTGGTGGGTCAAACCTCTTTTCCTCAAAAATTGTGCACAAGGGTTTGAAAACACAGCACATCATCTGTCTGAAAGCCATTGTTTTGCTCAGAAAGCCCTCTCCATAACCAGAGCCCGGCTAGCTGCATGATGTGACCGCAAAGCTGCATTGAGAGTGGCCACGAGAACAGAAGCGGCCTTCAGATTGGCGGATGGAAACCTTCTGCCTTGCAGACGAAGCCTGGAAAACCTCCTATCGCACAAGTATGTCGAAAAGGAGCAAGATTGCTATATAAATGCCGAAATGCAGCTACTCACTCGTGAAGTTTGCTGTGAACCTTGTTTGTGCTTATCAACTAAAAACATGTGTTTTTTTCCGTTCTACAATCCCTTGCCGTTTGAGGGAGCGGACTTCACGCTACGTACTACCCCTTGCTACGAAACAACAAGGCTTGGCTTTTAGGTTCGTTCATTCTCTTCTTGTTCTGTCCTTTCATTTCCCCCTTCGGAGCCCCAGCCTTCGTTTCCATTCAATTGGTGGTATTCTCAAAACGATGAAAAGAACTACAGTGGTTTTGCTTATCTTTTTGATTGTCTTCTCGTCTTGTTTTCTTCGTTTTTTCCGTCAGAGCGCTCGGTTGCAGGCAGCGTCGTGGCTCCGCCAGGGCCGCCAAGCGCCCACCGCATCGTCAAGGCGGCGGAGCAGCTGAGCAAGGTTCACGCGACCCGCCTGAAAGGTGGACGGACGGCAGACTGGACCACTTAGAAGACTTTGTAGTGGTCATTCAGCATGGCTTAGACCCCAAACAGTTTCAGAAGGAGTTTTTTTCCGTTCCTTGAATTCGAGTGTTGGTGGAAACGTCTGCAATAAATCGTATTCCTATAGCCTCCAGCTGATTCACAAAAGCATGTAAACAAACATCGATTTTCAGGGAACATAAAATATGAAACGGTTGCAGTCATAGCCACAGAAAACAAATCCAGACAAGGCGGTGGAGGTCAGCCCTCTTTTTAAAAGAGGGAACCCTAACAGTAAACTGTTTGGGGAATGAAGTGCCTTTTTCAACAGAATACTCAGAATAGTGCCATGTATTGTCTACCCATGGCTGCAAGCAAAACAACATTGCCCAGACTGCCCTGCATCAGCTACGAAGCTATTCTTCCAACTCGTTTACCAAAGACTGCGAACCAAAACATTTGAACCTTGCAAGGATCAAGCCAGTCTCCCACTTATCGCAATGTTCACACACTAAAGTCAACTTTCTCAAAACTTGAGGCAATTGGCATCGCTTGCAACTTCAGTGGTGGCTGAAGTAACAGCTCTGTACTTTAAGTCATCCCTGACCCACCTCTTCCACATAATGGCCTTCAAAAATGTATGAGCACAGGGCTGAAGCTTCTTCACCTAGGTTCAACAAACAAATGACGAGCTGCATGTGCTCGCATGGTATTTCGCTCACAGGTGAGTTTTGCTAGTCTTCACTCGAGTGTCAAAACGACTTGCAAAGTCTAGCTGAGATGCAGCTTCGCGATTCCCACTCGCGCAACAAAAGCTGTTCAATTGACAGCACTGTCTGCTTGCTGTGCTCCAAAGGCTCTCCTGTCAATTCACAATCTTCCAAATCGTCCGAATCATCCACGCAAAATCAGACGTTATAAGTTGACAGATGTTAGGAATCTTGCTTTCACTAGGTCTCACTAGGTAAGGTATGTGGGAAAGTCTCAGTCGTCAGCTCAAAAGAAGTCATCTTTGCTCGAGGATTGAATCCGGAACTTGGAAACAAACAGAGTCCCTGAAAAAAAGAACTTGGCTTCCACCATTCCTGTAGCCGGAACATTAGACGAGCGCTGCGTACTGGTGTACTTGTGACAAACTTTAAAAAATTGAAAAATAACGGTACTCCTGCTGCTAGGGGCTCCTGGCATCGCTACTAGGAGCAAGGACGCTACTAGGGGCTCCTGGCCTTACTACTAGGAGCAAGAAGCTACTAGGGCCTAGGGGCTCCTGTCTCACAGGCAACTGAGCCATCGTTTATTCCTTTCACATCGGACTCCTGCGAAGCTTTCCGCACGGTCGCAGAAGGGGAACAGCACAGGTTCTGCCTGCGCTGGCTTGGGTTTCCTCCCCCTAAACTCCCGGCTGACAACAGTCAACGTTATTGATTTTAAAAGTCTACAAATTTAATGCATGTCCAACTTGTCAAAAAGAGAATGGATCTATTAGCATCTATTCCAAAAACCCGTCAGGTGTACCATGAATACATTGGGGAAGCATCCGAAACATTCAAGAACAAAAAGTCGGAACAGCAGCTTTCAAAAGGTTCAAAGCACTACCCTCTCAACGGGGTACCCAAAATGGCACCATGATCACCATGAAGGTACCTCACTTATGGCTCGCAAACGACAGTGAAACACACTGCATACCTTCAGCAGTCGCACGAGTCGAAGCAAAAGGATCCCATCTGATTGAGCTCAAGCACAAGGTAAAACCACGTTCAAAAGTGCAAAAAGAAACAACATAAATCCTGCAAGAAAGCAAGACAAGAGGGGATCCAGACCGACAACAGCAGAAGCAAAAAAATGCCGAAGTGGTGCATAAAGCAAAAGCAGAAAAGCAAAGAAGCACACAAAAGGCAAAAATTGAAACAACACAAAAATGGGTGTGTATTTGTTTACCGTGGTCGGGCAGGGAGTTTGAGCAGGTGGTATGATTCGAGGGTATGATTCGAGGGTGTGATTCGCAGATGATTCGCAGCTTTGAAGTTGTATTGTTGGATTAGTTGGATTTCCAGCAGTGGGCCCGCTCTGCGCCGAGGCAGTAGGCAAGCAGCATCTGTTGAATGCTGGGCAGACTAGGCAAGTGCACTCTTCCACCAAGGACTCCAGTGGCCCTCTGCAGGCCCCACCAAACCAACCAGGATGTGAGATGGGTGGGAAACTGTGTGGAGGTGCGTGATTCGGATGAATCGGGCATGCATTGGGTGTGATTCGTATGACCATTAGATTCTGCAAAAGAAGGCGTTCCTCTGGCTCTTCTTTTGAAGGGAGAGCACATGGGAACATTAGGAGTACCCCTGGGATGTGAGCCTTTGCTCTTCCCACAAGAAGACAAACAATTTTGGCCAAATTGAGTGCCCATGGATCACACAATTGCAAACGTCATGCACCATTGGCTCATGGACATCTACAAGGCACAAAGACCAACCAAAAACTTCACCTTAACACCTGGTTCTTACGTGTACCTTTTTGAGGGGTATGATTCGGGGGTATGATTCGAGGGTATGTTTCGAGGTATGATTCGAGGGTATGAACCGCTCAAGTTGAACTTCCAACCACTACATCAAGAAGTACACGCAAAAAAAATACACACCCAAATGAAAGAAAAGCAAAGAAAACCAAGATCAACAGGGAAGCAAAAAGCAGGAGTCACAAAAATGGAATATCCTACCTACACTTCTTGGCCCACGCCCTCAGTCAAAACACACAGTGGCAAGCAGCCTGGAAAAGGAGCCACTGCGCTATCATGGCAACTTCGTCAGCCGGCGGGTCATACCTTACTGCTCGAAATGCATGACCCACCCAGCCCCGGCAGGGCATCCCACAGATGCAAGTCGTCAAAGTCTTAGCCTCCAACCTAATAGCCTATTAGCTTCTTGCTCCTAGTAGTAAGGCCAGGAGCGCCCCTAGTAACGTCCTTGCTCCTAGTAGCGATGCCCTTTGTTCCTGGTAGCTTCTTGTTCCAAAAGTGATAGTGTCTTGGATCTAACGGCCCCAGAAAAACGTGCTGCTTTCTGTTGTCTTTCTTTTTGCGGGGAAGAAGTAGGACTGGGTAGGAGGTAGGAAGCTGCGAGTTCCTTGGTTCCTTTCCTTGCATCTCCAAGTGACATCTCCAGCCAATGCTTCAATCTTCGAAGAATGCGCACCAGGTATTCACCGAGGAAAGTCTCCAGGGACTCCCGCGCGGCAAATGTGTCACTCTGACCTCGTCAGGTACCACAAAGTACAACCGAATTGACACCCAATGGTCTCACCGACAATTGAATTGTGTGCATATCCTTTCTATGCATATTTGGCGAACAGCCAATGTGGGTGAAAAAACCATGACAATTGAACCAAGAAATGGATGTATGTGTTTTAATTATATATGTGTTGTTTTTTGTTGTTCTTCTCTTGCAGAATGGATGTTACTGCCGCCGTCTTTGACTGAATGCGCTGGCCTTGAAGAAGTGCAGCAATCGCACGCTCAGCTGCCACAGCCGGTCGTGTGCGAGAAGCCTACCACGAGACCAAGTCCTTTAAATATGACATCTGCAAAATGTCTATGACAATAGAACCTGAGCATGGTGAACATTGGAATTTCAAAAATATGTGTTTCTTCTCGCCTCGAGCCGAAGCTTCTCGTCAGCCAAGGCTGCTGCGCAGGCTTCACAGAGCTGCAGCCAAAGCGCATGCAACGCACGTGTGAGCCCATCACACACCTGAGGGTCATGCAAGAAGGGAGTAAAAAGGCATATAACAGCATGGTGAAGCAATGGTTCTTTCTTAGAAGAACCCAGAAATTAAATGCATTCTGCCTTTTTCGGGTAACTGGAGTAACCTACAAATACTTACGGAGTAAGCATGGCATAGGCAGCTGTAAGCGCAAGTAGTTTCATTTTGTTTGATAATCGAACACCAAAACCTCTCCGTTGTTCAAACCTCAACAAAGACCCACCTGACCCCAAACATATGCTGACACCGAATATAATTTCATCAAGGAGCTAGAGTAGCAGGAGCCGGTGGCATGGCTTCCTGCGATTTCACGGAGCTACTGGCCCACTCGGGCTGCGGGTGACGTTTCAAACCGCCCAGCCTCAGTAAACGGCAGCCAGGAGTCAAACTTCTGATCAAGCTCTTGAGTGTTGACCTGGCAGTCAAGATCAAGTCTCATAAAGTGCATGAACTTGTCAGCCCAACAAACGTGCTGACGGCATTCGCTGCTCACTGGGCCTCCAATGTATCTGCAATGGGCGGGGGGGGCTGGCCGCCAGTGTACCTCTCGCCAATCGGCAAGAGCTCTATGTTGCAGGAACTTGTGCAAAACTTCCCCAATGTCCTCTAATGACTCCCCACTTCAGCTTGCAAGAACTCAGTTGCTGTGGTTGGTTCTCGTGCACAAGCTCATAAACCATTCTCAGCCCCGCACCTTCTCTGCTCTGCCTTTTGCACCAAACTTGGGTGTCAATGGCTCCATGGAGGAGAAGGATTCTGCTGTTGTTGAGTTGCTGCTGGGCACGCCTCAACCAAGCGTGCAACAAGCTCAACAACTATGGCAAGCAGCTTTGAGCGCTCATGCAAGCCAGACCAATACCGAATGTCTTGCCAAGCAAGCCAAGGATCTGCAAACGGATTGCAAGTCGTCCGCATCGCTGTCGCTGGCATCCCCGTCGTCTGCGCTTCCTGCTCACCGGATTCTTGAGCAAACTTTGTCAATGTCTGTCCATCCAGAAAAATACCTTACTACTCACACAAACTGTACATATATTTATTCACACGCTGTCGAACGGCACATGGTGGCTCAGTGAGAGAGCGGCCATGTCAACCAGCGAACCCCATACCTCATCGAGGTCGCGCCAGGTCCCTCGCAAAGCGAATCGGCCAGGAAGATGTGAATCTCAAAAGCTCTTCGGAAACCCTAGTGGCAATGTCACCACTCCAACCAATGCCAACAGAAGGCATCTTCCTGAAGATACGCAAATGTGGACGTGCCTTCAGGCCAAAGTCCAGACTCAAACGAAAGTGCTCTTGAACATGTCGAAAAAGGTCGGTAAAAACAGAAAGTTCAGTGGCCAACGTGGGACGAACCAAACCACCACAAGGCACTTCGGTTGAGGTCAAAAAGAAACCATCGGCTTGATGCTCAGTCAGGGGCAAATGAAATCCGTCCAAAACAAAACCAATGACCAACCCCAAAAGGGTAACCTGAGTCTTACAAGCTGAGGTGATGTCCACAGCAATGCGCCAAACGAGCCGAAAATTTGCCTAAACTAATGGAACTGCTCAAGACCTCAGGGCCAAATTGAGCTGAGAGAGCGGCGTCATTGGCCTCAGAATCGACCGCCAGCTCAGTCAGAGCGGCGTCGTCCAGATCCCGGCTCTCAGTAGTCGAAGTCAGACTTGCTCGCGCCAGCTCAACGCGGTCGTAGCTGCATTCTCCTCCGCGCAATAGTCCTGGTAGATCTGCAAAAACTCAGGTGGGCGAAGCTGATTTTGCCACCTTGCCAGCTTGTCCACATAGTCATTGCCAACTCGACACCAGTCAGCTCGTGGAGAAGCACAGTCCTCCTCAGCCAAATGTGAAGAGAGCTTTTGCAAATTGATCCGTCCAACATCGAGCTGCTTGTTGCCAAAGGCCTTGATGCTTCCATCGAGGAGGGACAGTCAGATGCCTCTGCAAGTGACTAAAGTTGTCCAGCGCGTATTGGCTGTCCGTGAAGATGGTGGCATGAGTACCTGTTCGCCAAACCCACAAAAAGGCCGAGTGCACAGCCATCGCCTCAGCGACATCAATGGATTGGATAAGGCCCGGAACAGGGCCTCTGCCAAGGTGCGCTTCGGCTCAAGCGTAGTGACCGCCCAGGATGCCAACGCCTGAGATGGAGTCTTGGGTGAAGTACAGCTGCCATCTGTGAAAAAATGAAGGTGTGATCAGCCCAAACTTGCAGGTCCAAAAAGTCCTCTCGACGATCAGGAATCTGCAACAAAGCATGCCAATACTTCCATTGGTGAGAATTCGCAGGATGGAGACCGTGATGCGTAAAAGCCACCGAGCGATGTGGCCAAAGCCGAACCTCAGCAGGGAATCTTCGCCGGACGCGCGCGTAGTCCACACAATAAAGTGCTCGATGAGAAACAGTGTCAGGGACCTGGCAATGCTTGCAGAGCCCGGAGCGCTGCCCATCAAAGTGCGCTTTGGCCTGCAAGGTGAAGTAGGTACCATCCTGCACCGTAGCCGGAAGCTCCGCTGCATCCATCTGCGGAAAAACCAACGAGCGAAAGGAGGCTTCCCAATTGATAGAATGGAGACCATGAAAGTCCTTCCGGTGACGAACTTTCAGACAAACCTTTTGTCGCCAGCTGTATTGCAGAAGGAGTTGAGGGCCTTCAAGAGACAGAGTCCAAAAATTGAGGCGCAAGTGCTGAATCCAAAGATGCCGTTGAGCATCAAGACGCCAGTCGTAGCCAAGACACTGCACAACCGCACGCAGCGGTCCTTGACTGCTGATCCCAGGATTGTCACTGGACTGCAACCAAAGCTCAAGAATCAGAGGAAACTGATGCACCGTTCTCCAAAATGTAGATAGGACCTGCCACAGCTGCTGAAATTCAGGGTCCATCAACGGGGCCTGCGTGAGAGACCATCTGACATGTGGACTTGCTCCAGCACGATCCCAGCATAGAGCCCTCATAGCCGCTGGTCGAAGCTGATCAGTGGAAGTCAAAGGTAGAAGCCTGTTCGCTACCCCATGAAGCACCTCGGGCCAGGTGATGGTTCGAATGGCCAGGAGCTTAGCCCAACGTGGCGCCGAAGAGAAGCGGAGAATCCTCCAATGCTCAGACGCAGCAGCAATTCTGCCTTGCGCAACTTGAGATCGAGAGACTCTGGAGTACGTCATCTGAGCACCAAGATCCTTGGCGGCCAGCCTTGTGGTGTAGCCAAAGTGGCGAAGGCTGCGACGATCATCAGCAGAGGTAGCCCAAGCATAACATTTGCCAGGATCAAGACGAATATCCCAAGCGTCCATGAAGACTTGCAGAATGTTGATTCCATGGCATAATGAGCCGAGATGGTCAGCGACCAGCTGGATGTTGTCAACGAAGACAGGGCTAGCCACATGAGGGCTGTAGACCTTGAGGTAGGTGTCCAAGGCAGTATTGAAGGCTAGCATAGCTATGCAACTGAGTGGATCGCCTTCTGGAAAGCGTGTGCATGAAAGAACAGCGTTTCCAGTGTGATTGGAGATACGGAATCTGCGCTCCAACTGTAGAAGAGCCTGTTTCCAAGCTTTGGCGCAATCAGCAGGGAAACCCATCAATTGCAGGAACATGATGATGGGGGCTCTGGGCAGAGTGTTGAAGCGTTTGACCAAATCTGCGTTGTAGCCCAAAAGATCCGATTGCAAAGAGAAGGACGTCTGGATCAGGCTTTGGAGCAAATACCACATGTCTTCTGCTCGGCGACCTGGAACATAGCCAAAGACCAAAGCAGGAACAATGTTGGCCAGGTAGGGAAGGTAAGCGCGACAGATCCCTGTGGCCCAAAGCCGGTAGAGAAAGGAAATGAGCACGGTAGGCCTGTAGCGTTTGGCCTGCTCAGCTTCCGGAATCTTGCGAATGGGAACGACGAACCCAGTCACAAGCTGCTGAGGCCAGTGGGCACCATTCTGGATCGCCCGGTACATGTTCTTCAAGTCGGTATGCTTGTGAAGAGGAAGCCGGGCAATGTCTTCTCTGGACCAAGCATCAGGGCCTCGAGTACACCGCTTGCGATAGCGCTCGGCTAAGTAAGTAAACTGAGCCGTAGACCAATCGAAGTGCAAGGGCTGCAAACGTGGCATGTAGCGCAATGCGAAGGCAAGAATGCGATTCCAATGCGAGAGCGCAAGGCCCGAATGTTTTTGCCAGATAGGAGTCCAATGGTGGATCAATTCACTCTCCATGGCTTGGAAGGTCTGACAGGGAGCGCGAACCATGAGCGTCTGACCTGACGCAGGCAAGAGATCCCCCTCTATCTTGTAGCCGCCATTGGATTGAGGCTCGACATCCACCGGCTCTTGATTGAGCGTGAAGCGTTGCTCCCCCTGAAGAAGCGGCTGGGAGAGCTGCACAGCGTGGTCCGGATCTATACGAAGAACTTTGGCCTCCTGTTCTCTGACGAGATGAGTCATGGGCAGAAAATCTGCTTGCTTCAACTGTTTGGTGAGGATCTGGTTGCGCTGCAAATGTCGCGCTTGTACTAGATCATGTCTCCGCCGGTAATGCCAAGACTCAAAGCGATGATAGTTGGCCTCGAAATCGTGGAGCAGGAGCAAGGCCAAGGCTCGTGGAGGAGGCCATTCAGGGAAAGCAGCAGGCAGGCCAGCATGTCGAAGAGGGCGATGCCGATGCAGCTACCACTGTCGAATGTTGCTCCACGGGGTTGAGCTGGCGAAGCTGCGAAGAAGCCACGCAAAAGGTGTCAGCAATGATGGGGACCGTCTGCATGACCAAGTCCAGGCGAAAGTCACGAACTCCATCGTAGTAGAAGAAGAATTCCATGAGCGAGAAATCCAAGATCAGCAGACTCCAATGAGATTGAGCCAAGAGAGGAAAGAGGAGCCAGGTGAAGGGGCCCTTGCGCTCATTGATCAGAAGCTTGGGTGCGAAGCTGGCAGGACGCTTGAGGAGCAACTGAACAATGTGATGCGGAACAACTTGCACATTGTCACGAGTGCGCGATGGCAAGAGCTGGAGGATCTGCTGGAGTTCATCGTAGAGCTCGATGTGGTGGACTCCATTGGCCACACATGAATGTGGTCCCAAGCCGCGGAGTTCCCCTTGCTCACTTTGCCATAGGGCATCACCCCATCGAAAGCTCCGAAAGAGGTTGCAGAATTCCATGCCTTGCTTGTAGTGGAAGCCAAGCGTCTCAAGGATGGTGGAGAGGCGAGTTCCTGCTGGCCCGTGAAATTCACGCTGAAGCACTCCATCATGAAGTTTGACAGAGATGAGATCAGTTGGCGCAGGTCGAGGATGCTTGGGCCTTGAGACCACGATCTGGTATGTACCACCTCGCAGTAAAGCATTGGGAAGCTGAGGAATACCATCACGGTAGAGAGTGAGCCAGTGGGCCAGCCCAATAGTTGCTGATGAGCATGAGGAAAGTGTTGTACCGTCGTCATTGGCTCAATCAGACGCGAGAAGGTTGCGTCGTCCTCCACGAAATGGATATCCTGAAAATATCTGTGCTCGCATGTAGGCCATAGCTGCTTGCAAACTTCAAGATTGGAATTGATGTAATTCAAGAGAGCCTCATTGGGGCTGTCAAAGTCGATCTGCCAAGATCCAATGCCAGAGGCTTGAGGTGCGCGCAAGGCATGGAGAAGCACCCACATGGTTTGCAGCGGCGCCGCAGTCTGACCAATGAGAGGCAAGTCTGATCTCGCTTGAGCAAGGTTGTAAATGAAGTCTGCAGGGAGACTGCATAGGTACCCTGCCTCACAGGGGCGCAAGTGCCGGTAGTGGTTGGCCGAAAAGGTAGACGGAAGCATGGTGAGCGCCACTCCATCTCGAAGCAACCGTTCATGGCTTAGCCCTTGACGCCGACAGCCGCAAGGACACGCAAATAGGTGATGACCCAGGCTGTGAAGCAGCGTAGGACAGGTACCTGACTGGCGCAACTCATGATTCTCCAGGATCAGGGTCGAAGCATAGAAGTCCATTTCTTCTGGAGTCCATGAGTGATTCTCCTCTTCAGATCTTGACCAAATTGGCCATGAAGGCATGATGTCACCCACCGATTGAAGATGGGGAAACTTCGGCAAAGAAGGCAAGATGCTGATGTGAGAAGCCGCTGAAACTGGAAGAAGGAGACACCACCAGCGCGTTCTCTGACATGGCCAAAGGTCAGAAAGACGCAAAATTTGCTGCCTGCTCTCAAAGTTCATCGCTCGCGCAAAAGAACTGAGGTGGTCCTGCACCTCTCGATGGTGTCCAGTAGTGGGCGTGCACTCCAACACCACAAAGGCCGAGTTGAAGAGGAATGCCGCGATGAGAGCAGCTACAAACACTTCCGATCTACTGTCCCCAAAGGTTTTTTGGTCTCCCATGATGCTGAAAGGAGGACAGGGGAACCCACACATCAATCCCATACGATCGCCCTTCATGAAAGTAAAAAGACTTGCCAAGTCCTCAGGGTTGCAAATGTCACCCTGGAGAGCCAAACCTTCATGATTTCGCCGGCAAGCATCCACTGCCAAGGGCGAATGATCCACGCATGCCAAGCTTCGAAGGCCCAGCGCACAAGCTGCAGCCGTCATCCCACCCAGACCGGAACAGATTTCAATGACCTGGTCCTTCTGAAACTCGCCAAGGCGCACAATGCGAGTGGCAGGGATGATGTCGAGCTTGAAGGAAACCTCAGAAGTAGAAACCTCAGTGAGCCATCCATTGAAGATGGACAGCTCTTCCCCAATCCTGAAGTCATGATCAAGAGCGATCGATAGCCCACGACAATGGGTGGACACCAAAGAGGCGCCCACAACCTTCACACGAAGGCAGACCAAACCAGGCGTTTGGAAAGCCTCAAGCCACCATGGGAAAGCCACGCCGCAAATCCTACGGGCCTTGGTCGAACAAGCTTACCTCTGGAAGGTTGAGCCCACAGCTTACAAACTGTACATATAAATAGTACAAGGATATACTGTATAATTGCTAGGCCCCGTACATTTTGTTGATGTTGCATCCCCCTAGTCTTCTGTAAACATCCATACCCTCTCATTCTTATCATTCCCGCTCTGTCTTTGACACCACTTCTTCAACAGTCCCGTCCTGCCATGAGGCGACCTGCCTCCAGCAGCACCAGCCAGCGCCGGGCCTCCCCAGCATCAGCAGCTCGCAGGCGCCAACAGCGATGTCCAAAGTCCAAGTTCAGCTCCCGGGGTTGGTCTTCCGCCACCTGAGGTGACCAAGAAAGCCACGAAAGCGGCAGTGAAAGAACGTGAAGAACAAACTGGTCTAAAGGTCAGGTAAGGGATCAAAATAAAAATAAAAATAGAGTCAAAAAAATACAACGGGGATCAATAAAAAAAATAAAAAGGTAATCAAAAAATAATATTCTAGCCCACTGAGGATGGTTGGGGTAGTAGAGGAGAGTGTACCTCCCCAGGAGCTCCCTCCTAGTAGGGAGCTATTTCCACTGGTGAACCATTTTTCGAGTAGGGCTACTCAATGACTGGACGGCAACCTTATCGTTGGGTACCTACTTTCTTCCCAGGGAGCTGCCTCTAGTAGAAAGCAATCAAGCCTCTATTTGCGCAAGCAGGGGACCAGGAGATCGACAGACGAGCGCCGTAGGAGAGCAAAAGAGCAGCGGACCAGGAGACAGAAGGACTAGGATACCAGGGGACCAGCGGACCACAGGACCAGAGGACCAGGAGACCGGAGGACTAGGGGACCAGTGGACTAAAGGACCAAGGGACCAGGGGACCAAAGGACCAGTGGACCAAGCGACCAAAGGACCAAGGGACCACATTACCAGAGGACCCGCAGACCACAAGGCCAGGAGAGCAGCAGAAGAGGCCTATCAAGGAATATGTTGTTGATTCGCTTTTTTTTTGATACTGTTTTTATTTTTTTGTTGATGCTCTTTTTATATTTTTTTGATACCTATGCCCTAAAGGTCTACAGTCTACAGAAAATATGATAAACATCTTAAATAGACAATAGAAAAAACTGGTGTGAAAAAGGATCGTCTTTATATAAACACTAGCGACAGTATTAGTCACATGTTTTAGGGAATGGACGTCACTATACATTACATGTGTAGATATACATACTTATTTATTTTTGTATGCTCATGTCGCTACCCCAAGTGTGTATGCTATTGAAATATTTTGTCAGGAAGCTACCCCAAGTGCTGCAAACAATCTTTCCTGAAAGCTCCATTACTACTAGGTGTTGAATCCACCTGCAAACCTTGTGCTACTTGAAGGACACTTTCTCTTGGGCCTAGGTGGATTTATACAACATGGCGACTGCTTGGCTGCAGGATAGAAGACGATAAAAGAGAATCACCTTCACCTTAGGTACATTGTATACGTTAGGTCTTCAGGCCCCACAAACCCTGGGCGAATTCCAAACATGCAAAATATTCCTGTATCCAAGCTCCTTTACTGGTGCTAAACTCAGAATGCCAGGCTCATATCTCACCATATCTCCAACACGAGGTGCCGCTGAGACGCACTCAAAGTCTGTGCTTTCCTGAGGTTGAAGGTCTTCTTGACGCTGCTGCTGGGTGATTGCATGTATCGAAGGTAGCATCCTGAACAGTCTCAAAAGCTTCAGCCAAACAAGTGAACACCGCGCATAATATTGATCAACTCCAGCCTTCCAAACGGAAGTATCGCTGCTGCCACCTGCAAAACGTCTGCAAAGACAAACCAAAACTCAGAAAGTGCGCTGCATCTGCGAAAATTGCTGCCTTCCAGAAATCTTCCCAGAGCTGCGTTTCGCAAGCCAACCTTCGTGGCTCAGTTCTTTGCCTGCAGTTTGGCAATTCAAACTGAATCCATCTCGGCAAATACATCGTAGTTGCCGACGCCGGTCAAAAATCAAATCACTGCGTGTGCCTATATTGTAATCGCAAATTTCATAAAAGTTCATGTCATGATATTTTATGAAGGCTCGTTTGCACCCACCGAAGGTTTCTGCAGAAACACGAAGTCTATAGATCCTGCCTGGCAGCTCCCGTGCAAATCGCCAGCGCCCTGACTGGCTTTATGGCTTGATGGGCAAGTGCAAAGCTTCGTTGCTGTGGTATTCTGCGCGAACTTACTCGAACCAGTGGATTGGGGAGGGGTAAAAGATGGTAAAAGCAAGTATAACCACCGCCATGACTAGAACGAGTAGGAGCACCACCACTCCACGTCCGCACTCACCCACGCCCCCACTGCTATTGCAGCCACCGCAAGCAGGACCACAAGAAGAAGAAGAAGAAGGAGCAGCAGCAGCAGCAGACTTGGTGACTTGGTTATTTTTGTTTAAATTCAGCGGTCCCCCCCCACCTGAAAGACTGGAGCTGCTCGATGTGCGGTGGCCTGAAGAGCTCCTTGAAGTCACGCGATCAGCCAGGCTGGTCGCAGAGTCCTGGTGTTTCACTCGCTCGACCATGGCTTATGCAAGTAGCTTATGCAGTCCTGAGACCATGGCAGCTGCAAAAGGTTACCTGGGACAGTTACAATCCAACCAGTTGGGATCGCCGCAGATCGTTCAAATGCGATCACAGAGTGTCACACGTCACAGGCTGCTGCACAGCATTACATGCGCGAGCCTCGAGATTCCCTTCTGGGCTCACCTGCTCAGCTTGGTCACAAGACCCCAACACCAATGCGACCGCTGTCAAACACAAAGACCCGCACCCAAGCAACAAGGTTCACAAAAGAGATCAAAAGAGTATTCTCATGTATATGCAGTAAATTCATCGATGTGCAAAGAATTTGAGACCAGAAGCTGACCCTGCCCCTCCTGCACCTCGTCTCTCACTTGGCAGTGAGCTCGAACGGCGCTCGGCATGCAGCCTCTCACTATCTCAAAAGGAGTGGGAAACGTTTCCCAAGATGTCTATCATCAACTGATTTCTTTCCATGCAGGGTCGGTAAGTTGGCAGCAAACAACGTTGATTCTCGCTACGTCGCTTGCGTTTTCCTCTAGCACTATCTCAGAGAGGGCCTCTCCGTCGACTTGGCGGGGGGCACCACCTGCGTCATTGCTTCTCAATGTGCTCAGTATCTCTCCTATTTCATCTATTCTCACAAAGGGTCTGGGTCTTAGGCCTTAGCAAAAGGCATGTAGAAAAAGGACAGGGAAGGCCCACTTTAAAGAAGCTGTACCTTTCTTCTAGTTTCCCGTCTTTTTGTAAGACCATTGACCATTGTCATTTGTAATTGTGTGCAATCTCTTCAACCAAAATGTCCTTCGGTGTCTGTCGCCTGGGGGGGTCTGGTCCATCCAGATCGAAAAGTCTCCTGACGAGCAAAGATAAATAATCCAAGCAAAGGAACAGGAAGCTACTAGGACCTGAGCAAAGGGCGTCGCTACTAGGAGCCAGGACGCTACTAGGGGCTCCTGGCCTTACTACTAGGCTACTAGGAACAAGAAACTACTAGATCTACTATATAGTAACAAAGGTGTGTTTTTCTTCCAACCCAAGAGCAATGGCATCCAACCTAAGAGCGATGGCCTGGACAACGGTTTAGCGCTGTTGTCCGGGGTACCCCAAGGCACTTCCGTGGTACAGACACAAAAAATTGAAAGTTATTTGTCTACCCGTGTCGCCCGGGTCTGTCGGCCAAATTATTTTACCACTGGCGCGGTACTTAAACCCAGCAAAAATCGAGTGTTTGTCTCGCGGTTTCAACCAAAATTTGACCTATCTCCGAAGTTAAAGGGCAAAATCGAAAAGTTGCTTTTCTCACTGCAGTGCCCGAGACCCTCAACTACTATGAATCTTAGTCTTACCGAAGAGGGAACAAGGACGCTACTAGTAACAAAGGGCATCGATACTAGGAGCGCTACTAGTAGCTCTTGGAATTACTAGCATTGTCCGAGTCCCTCAGCCGTGGATTTTAACGACAGCGAACATTACTTTTTGCTGTCCTGCGCGGGGTTGGCAAAAAATGTTTACCAAAGGCGGTGTAAAAACGGCAAAAAGTGCAACATAATGAACATGATCAGTTTTTGCAAGTTTCTCTGTGGGGTGTGCAAGTGGGTATCTCTTAGCAAAACAACCTGCACAAATCGGCTTAGCAAATATTTTGTTTGAGAGCCAAACCTTACTTCACATGTCCTGGATTGTCCTGGCCCGTCTCTTGAGCTATCTTGAACTCTGCATTTTGCAGGCATCGCTCGCTCCTTTGCTCATCAAACCTGTAAAAGTTTTGCCTGTCAACTTGCACCTCGTTTGTCTACCGTATGAACATCCCTGACCTTTGCCGCCCCGCGTGATATTGGCGCAAGCAAGAAACCTCTCCACCTCGCCCCTGGCTGCATGTAGCACCGGACTTTGGCAAAGGGTACGAAATCTCGACGGTTTGAAGAGTTTTGTTTCCAAATTCCAGGTTTGTCAAATCTGCCTAACCCTGGGTTTCCTGGCATACCAGGCATTGGTTGACGTCCGAGTGGCTACTGCTGTTGCTGGGATGGATGGGGCTGAAACGCGAATCAAGTCTTCTGCTTGCCTGCTTGCATGGTCAAGTTCTTTGACAGTCTCTTCCGTTCAACTCCGTGAACACTGTTGTTCCATGCTGTACATGGTGACTGTCACGATTCTATCAAGCCGCAGCCGCACCCAGTACTCCTGCAGGGAGGCCCTTCTTTGCTCGGAGCGAGCGATGCTAGCGGGGCCTTAACTTTGAAGTGACTGTCAACATATTCAGCGCTCAAACATCATTTGTTGAGAACTATGAGAACAATGACAGCTTCGAAGCAAAGGTTGAACTTGACAATTTCAATGCCAGCGACTGTACTCCCTCCATACATCACACCAACTCAGTAATCACTGCTTGTGAGAGGCTGTAAAGAACTTGAGCTTTCCGGATGAACTGGACGCGAACGGGGTGCTATAGTAGGTGGCCAGCTACTTGCTATAATCTAGATCTTTTCATCACATCTTCACAATGCCAAGGCCATGAACAACCGGCCCAACTGCCTGTGAAAAAATAGCTTCGAATGCAATCTTGCCCAAAGGCAACCAAATTGACTCGAAAATAAGCTAGCCGGTTGCTCACTCCTTGCAGTATTGGCTTTTGAAGTCTTGAGAAATTCCACCAATCTTTGGACTATTGCGGCCATTATGGCTGCAGAAGATCTTGTGTCTTCACTGTATGCAAACTGTCCGGGACAATGTCCCTTCAGTACAGAAAATTGGATCCATGCACGGACCGTGTTTCCTCTCCCAAAACCATGTGTATATATATATGCATTGCTTGTGCCAAAAACCAAAAACATCAGACAAAAACATGGAATCGGCATTCCAAGACTTTGTTTCTCTGTTGAATTGGCCGAGCATAAAGACGGAGAGGCAAACAACCGGACCAGATGAACAACGGAGATATGTAGAGCTGCAACCTGGGTAGTCATCCGACTCCGACGCTGACCAGCAGCTCAACTGCTGCAACATGCTGCACTTATCTTCCAACCTGATTGCTCAACACGTCCCAGCTCTACCTGGCTTTCCCTACTCCGTTCTGATAACCAGCAAGGGATCTTTCGTGGGTTTCCGTCAAGCTGAGCGACGCTCCCCAAACCAAACCCTAGCACCGAACGTGCAAGGAAAAATCACAATCATCACCTTGCTTTCGAGCGGCCAGATGCTGCGAGGTCCTACATTTATATCTGTCCAACAGCAACAGATTTTACGCATGCTTTACCATTTAAGACAGTCGCACCCTCCAGCCTTGGTCGCACTCACTCTTATTCACTGAGTCTGAGTGTGGCTCAAAATTCTGGGGAAACTTATAACTCACGAGATCTGGTGTGGTGGATTGCGCTGGCCTGACCGGCCAAAGTCCTATAATTGGAATCCACCAAGCTTGCGTGCACTGCTCCCATGGGCTGCACACCTCACACTGACAACTCCAAAGCCCGCAACAGCAGGTCTTGCTAAACACATATGTTGGCACTGACAGCCTCATGAGAACGTATACACAAATAGAACTACAACTGCACAGCTCGCTCTGGAGAGTTTGGAGAGTGCCCAAATAACTCCTACTTTCCTGCTTTCTCCACTGCTCCAGCACGATGCTGCGATAGCTGTGATGCAAATCAGAACCTCAACGGTCACCAAGTGGACTGAGCAAATCAACCCTGATTGATAGACAGCCTGTCAAAGACGTGGAATACATTGAGAAAGGTATTCTCGACATGTCACTTAACCAAATGTCCCTTTCTCGTCGGAAGATCTGCTCAGCTTTCCTGCTTGAAAAGACTTGGAAACACAAAACCCATGCATTGTGTGCACCCAGCACATTCACATGCTGATATCGCACCTGGCAAGCAAGTGATGCTGTGGTCAGAAAAAAGTGGTAGAAAGGAAGCGACAAGCGGTGTTTTTGGCAATGGTCCATGTTTCCCTACTGTACTTTTTTTTGGGGGGGCCCCACCCCACCCCATGAATGAAGATCGAAATCGATGCCAAGTTTGTGCAAATGCAAAAACACCGCAATGCAGTGGAGCAAACACGCAGAGAGAAGCAAAAAGAGTAGTTAGGCGGGAAAGCAACACAAGCAAGAAAAAACGGAAAAGCAGTCAAAGCAAACAATAGCAGGAAAACAAAGTAAGCCTTGTAACAATCAGAGTAGAAGCAAAGAAGCCAAACTACAGCTCTGCAAGAGTCCTCCCCCAAAGGCAATCTTTGAATAGATGTCCATGCTTTGCACATATATATATATATACTATGTCATGCAATGAAGATGAGAGCGATATCACGATGTTTCTGTGCAATGTTCGCAACCCGAACTCTGCAGCCCTGCGCCTGTCCACTTGCCTCAACAGCCTGGAGAGCTGTTCAGCCTCAGCACAGTGTGGCAAGAACCGCGTCTTCATTTTTGACCAGCAACCACTGAAATGTCTATGCTATTGCCGCAATTTCCAGTGGTCAGTGCGCT